AGTAGATAGTATATCATATAGATCAAAGGTATATAAGATAGTATTCTATATTTGTCATAACGATAGATCTAAAAGATAAGATATAATCATATTAAAAGATATTTACGATTAATAGTCTGAGAATCCATCCTAGCATAAGCTACTTAAGATCCTTTAAGAAGAGTAGAATATTAAATTCTAGGAAAGTTCTAAGTGCTTGATAGTCAACAATCGAATCTAGATAGTCAATCAACGATAGTTCCTTGCCTATATATAATATTTATAGAACGTAAGAGTCTGAAACTCGATCGTTTCTATCGATGCTATTAGATATCCTAGCCTTATAGATGTTTAGGTAGATACAAAAATGAACCAAAACATACTAGCTATAAGAAAACTTCTAAATTTCTCGATTACTTTACTGTTTGATTATGACAGCTCTCAAAGCTTCCTAAACAATTGTAAACCTCCTTACTAGTTTAAATCTAAGTGGTTTTAAGTCGTAGCTTGTTTTCAACTGCCTTCTTAACCATATTACAAAACCTTCATAGTCTCTCGTCTGTCAAGTTTCGAACCCACCGTCTTACTTAACCTTAGGATATACTCTTGAATAGCATAGAGCCTACGACCTTATTTCAAAAACATTAGATACCTTATCCTCTATCCTACGCTTCCTCTTTTGATTCCTACTGTTAAGCCTTCCAATACTAAAAGACTCGTAAACAGTCTTTCGTAACTTACAACAATAATATCTTAAATATACTGTTTCGTATATTAGCGTCATAGTGACAGACCCATAGTTTATATAGACTTTTAAAAGCTATAAAAACCAGAGACTAAAGACGGCTTACTAACCTTGCCGATATAAGCAAAGGTTGAAAACATTAAGGTAATTCTCTACTTATCGATCCTTAAGCAGGATATATTAGCTGACACCTTTAACATAAAGAAGGCTAGCATAGAGACTAGAATATAGTTACCATTTGTCTGATAACGGTAGATAAGCAACTCTCCCAAAGATATAAACATCCTAAATAAAAATTCTTACTAGGCCTTTAAGCAATTTATATCAAAATCAAGTCTTATCTAAGCTTTAAAACTTTTTAATCAAATCCTCTAATAGCAAAAATATCTATATTATCAAAGGAAATATATTTATTGATTAAGACGATGACTGCTTTAGGTATATCATACTATAGTTTATACTTTTATTATTCTTAACCGCTTCCTAAAGTTGATAGAGTATGATAGTTAGTTTCTATAGCTCAGTCTAATGTTTTATCTCCCAATCTAGAAAGTGGGCCTCTGTGTCAATGACTTTCACCTCTTTTATAATTCCTTACGTATGACGGCCGATGATAAGCTAAGGCGTTCGACCGAACCATACTTATAGCATATATATACTGATAGAGCTTAACTTACTCTTTGACTTAAGTTTAGCTACCATAGGTTAAAACATAGCTTGCTATCGAGTCTTTCTATTTGTTAACTCTATTATATGGTTGACATTGTCTTTAGATAGATCATTCAAAGTAAGCTAGTCTATCAGCAGGCTTAAGTGGTCTTAATTTATTCTACTGTTATTTAGGCCTATAGCATCCTATGCCTAATCTCTTAGGTAGTAAGCATCCACCTCAAATTATACCATACAGTTCAAGTCTCCCAGAAAGTATCGTATAACCTACTAATGCCCGATACTATTCTCTAATCTAAGAGGATACTTAGTAAAGGCTTTCTCAAAGCTTCGTCTATATTCTAGATCTTACAATCTACTAATAAGCCTTCGGAGGCTTTACTTATATTGTTCGATAAATAGTATATTTCCAACTAAACACAAATTTATACGAAAACTCTCACCGACTCATCCTTCACAAAAGTCAAGGAGCTTCCTAAGGCTGTTTCGATTGACTATAACATCTATATTGTCGAGGCGAAGCTAAGGCTTCATCAAGGCCAAAGATAGGAATAATAGCTGGAATAAATATTATAGGCTATAGAAAGAATTCTAGTCTATATAGTCATTATCATTATCTTTAGGTAAAGTAATTGATAGACTGTTTTTCTGCCAGATAGGTGCAAATCCTAGTAGTCGTTAGCATACATTAGGCTATATAGAAAGGATTTGAATTTTTTACCTAGAATTATAATCGTCGGTTTCATACAATTAACCTAGTTATAACTATAAAGAAACTTACAGACAAAGGTGCTTAAAACCTTAATAGTCTTTGTTTCTAAAGTTGGAAACTCTATCCTTTCTACTATCTTACGACGCCTTACGCCTCTCTAGAGCCAATCTTTATGATAGACTTTAGCCGAATAGACTTAGTCTTCTGTCAGAGGAGCCCTACAGGCAGAATTGTTGCCACCTAGTCGGATCTTATCTATCTGATGCTGAGTCTTAGCCAATTCTAAGCCGAACGAGCGGCTATATAGATATAAGAATATATAGATACTAGCAAAGTTCTCTTATCCTTAAAATATCCATATATATATAGTATCGACACTAGTATAAGAGAAAATAATGGTAAAACTATATATTATACTATATATAAGAAAATAAAGTAGCGGTTTTATATAATAGTAGTAAGTTTAAGCAACCTTATTGTTAATGCCTATTTGACCGTAAGTATTGTTTATAATATTCGCTAGATTTCCTTTAAGATCAAGTAACCTAGCTTAGCTATATAAAGAAACATTCAAAATGCTATCTATCCTTGAGAGTTACCGCTATTATCATGACAACATTCTATATACCAGAATGTAATCTATCGCCACTTACTACTGACACTATATAAGAGCTATAATTATAATAAGGTTTCAAAGGACCCTACTATATGCTATGTTTGACAAAGCTTTATATACTTAACGGCCATATTTTCTTCTATTTGACTTAGAATTAGATATAAACGAAGAGTAAGATATTGTAGGTTACTTTTTTAAGCCTGTTTATATATATATAGCTGGACAGCGGTAGATACCAATTCAGCGTTAAGTTTAAGACTTAGCTATTCAGCTTATATAAGCTTCTCTTCGATCTTAAGCCAGTTGACCAGTCAGACATTCATCAAGAGTGTTGACGACCAGATAACAGACTATAGGGCCGGGTCATATAAGAGATCTATCAAGATGTCTTAGACAATGACCCAAGCTATAACGTTTATAAACAACCGTCTACCTATATAATTGTATGTTTTATATACGTATGACAGAAGAGACAGCTGCCAGTCGACGAGTATATAGGTGAAGCCGCGCACCATGGCTGTAGCGCTATTGATGCATATATCAGTCGCTTGATAGATAAAGCAGGACAGCTTGTATTCATCCTTCGCCAGCTTGTATATCATATTATAGTAGCATGTCTTACGCTTGCTTGGGTCGTCCTTGATTTATAGCAGTCGACTCTGCCAGGGGGGGGGCACTGCTCTCAAAAGAATAGGTCACTATATAAAACCCAACGATAAATATCGTCCGATAGACTGCTCTTATGACCCTTAATACGATTCTTGTTATGTCTTAGTCGGTGATTCTCAAGGTTACTATATAGCCGCTATCCGAATATAGACATTATATCCGACATAAACGTAGGTATATCCCACAGTGCTAAGGCTATCGACTACAGCAGACATTGTAGCCATACTTATATCTGCAGGTACTTATACTATCGACTGTTTAGGCTCTATATATCGTAGCGCTTTACCCTACTACTGACGAAGGCTAGCAGAAGACGTTCGAACGATACTGGCTTTACAAAACATCGAATGTTGGAAAGCCGATGACAATCCTGCCGGTCATTTTGAAGAGCTAGGATATATATGTCAAGAATCTGGTGGCAGAATAGGCAGACTGGCAAACGGCGGTCGTCAGACTAAAGGTTAGTATTGGCTGTGTTTGAGTGTAGGACGTCGCCTACCAATCATCAACGCCACCATACTGTGGCGGCTGTCTATGGTTGTAAGGTTTGGGTATCTAGATATGGTGGATCTTGCGTTATAGATGGAGCGTAGTGTATTGAATCATAGGAAGTATGATGGTAGGAATCAAAATGATGTATGTTAAACAAGATGCCCATGCTTAGCAAAAGACCTTCAATATCTGGCGACAAGCAAATAAGCTATACTATGATAAACAAGGCTTAAGCAAATCCATACTCTTAAACTCAAGTTAAAGATATACTCACATGTCCAGATACTGTCTAAGTTAAATCTGCTATTATTTCGCATTTCTAGACACATCGGGTGGTATCGCTGACAAAACTTAGTCCTAATGGTACGCGTTAGAGTATGCTAGTCCAGGATTAGGCTAGATGACAGCAAAAGCATGTCATATCTAACGCACAGGCACACATCATAGTAATTGAGATTCCGAAAAATTGCTCTGAGGCAGGTTCCTAATGTGCCAGCATATGCGAACATTTGCCCCAGCCAAAATCCTCACATAATCATTCTCCCTACCAGGTGGATTCATCAGCCTAGCTACCCTTGCCTGTAGAGCTTTTGTCGCTTCTATTACGAGCCTACAGCGCTTATAATCAGTTGCCTGAATCAACCTAAAGGTAAATGTACTGTACATTATAGTAGATTGGAAGCCAAAGAAGGCTCCACCAACAATCCACCAAAAATCACAAAATCACTCTTCCACCCTTCCCATCCCGACAGGTCACCCACTACAGACTTTCAGTATGCTATTGAAGGAAATTTAAGCCTATAATTACGCATTAAATACACAAGGTAGCTGTCTTCAAACTCCGCTACAATGAAAACCCCACCTCCACTACTTCAGTGACTCATCTGTCCACCAGCCTACCTAGTCCTGTTTATGTATGTTTGTTCCGAGGGCGTCAGCCCCCAGACCCCCAAACCTAACACCACTCTCATCGCTCCATTTAACTTCCCACACTCCCCAGCCTATCCCATACCAACTCTTCTCACCTTCTATCATCACTTTCATCAAGAACAACCTTCCTATAACCCTTCCTACAATCCCGTCCTTTATTTATTTATCATGAATCCATTTAATCGAGAATGGCTATTATTATCCCCCCAACCCCCAATTCCTATCTCACGAGGGACGAATATACCATCCTACGTCACTCTCAGGATAACCACCTTACACGCGAGTTTGCCGGTCTTCACCACTCAATCGATGGCATCAAGCGTGAACTCAAGGAGTTCAAGGAGGACGTAAAGCTCCAATTCACTGCTGTCGACCAGCGATTCAATGCTGTCGATCAACGACTCGACATTGTCCAACTCCAACTCAACGAAAATACCGCCGAGATCCGTCAATCCGCCGCATACTCCCGAAATTCAAGCATCAAGAATCCATACCAACGCATTACACCACTCGTCGCATACAGGCCCGCACACGGCCTCGCTGACCCCGATCTCGACTTCTTTCCGAAAACTGCCGATGAGTTCTATAAGCTTAGGTCTCCCATCACGTCTGCTCAACGAAAGATGCTGCATTATCTTATCAATTTCTACGACCTCACCAATGACCCATCCATCCTACCTGTTGATCGAAGCGTCGACGACGGCGATATCGATCCATCACCATTTCCTTACGACCCGGTTAGAGCCGTCGAGTCGATTGAGGTCGTCTTGGGCCTTGACGAGGAGAAGATCATTGCTTTCAAACAACGAGCACAGCAATATGCCGCTCAAACCCTTCACTTACCCTCTAAGCGCCCCAATATAGCCTCGAATAACGAATTAGAACACCTAGCTCGACGTCCGAAATTCGACCCCACCTCGCCCACCTCTCGTCACCCTGTTTTCCCAGCGCACCAAACGAGCCTAAACACAACCACTTCTGACGGTCTGGATAGGACTCGTCTCGGATTGGGAGACCGCTCAACCCCGTCTTCCCGGAGGCCAAGGATCCACGACTTTAGAGGCCGAAAGACCGAATCTCCGCCGGAGAGCTTGGAAGATGATCGAACTTCGCAAGACTCGAGCGACCGCGACGACCCCAATCAGTCATCTCAGCAGATTTCGGCAAAAAAGGAAGCCAGTCTGCCCGGGGATGACGCCGTAATCAGCCAATCTCGCAAGTCTAAACAAGACGTTACTCATAAAAGCGACAGTCCAACAATGGCGTATACAGCAACGCCTGAAAGGTGACCTCAATACTGGCGGACGGTGCCGAAGGGCCGAGTCTTCGCGCAAAGCTGACATTCTTCACAGGGCCACTCGTTTCAACAACCGGACGAGGGATGACGACAAATGACCTGCTCCACGTGCCTAGCAATAGAATCTCTACGATCTTTCAAAGTCGATTCGCGTAAAGCCATCGTTCGACATTCCAAAGAGAGTGGGCTGGGACATATCAGCCATGTTCGGCAGCAGCCATGTGTGGTCCATCCGACTGGACGCTGAGTCTCCTTAAAGAGTCGAAACCTAAGAAAGTTCTGCTTTCGGTCCAGCTGCAATTCTATGTGCACCAATTTCACCGCTCAAATAAGATGCGCAGTCCGAGCCGTCGCCGTTCGGCAAGCTGCTGCTGCCGTTACCACAGCCTTGGATCCTGACAGCAAGAACCGGGTGCATCCTTGCCCTTCCAAGTAGCGGCTCTTCGGCCTATTTTGTTCCCACAATACCGCTGACTCTGTTTAGCGACAAGCAGTTGCAGAGACCGTGACGGAAGAGTAGCATGAGCAGGGCAAGTAAGGATGGAAGACAGCACGGTTTGTCTGGTACCAGTACCTTAATACTCAGTTTAAGGCACACGTTGGGTGCGGATTTATCACCAAAACAAAGTGAGAGCTGGCATCTGGAAAGCAGCTAGATACTTCAGTAAAGTAGTTAACCATGATCACATCTTAGTCATTCTGGCATCAACAATGTGACGCTCAAATAGCCCGATTCGAGAGTTCGATCTACCGAGGCCCGTTCGCGAACCTGTCCTTCGAAGCGTACGAGAACAAGGGACCGATCATCTGTTGGTCTTCATCGTCCCCGAGGATGCTCTTAGAATTCCAACGCTCGGTTTTACTCTGCTCAAATGTAGAACATACTATCTCTCAGCCTCTCATGGACTTGCACGTCATGATTGTCCACGGGTCCCTGGGTACTATCCCCTACGGAGGGTGCAGTTGAGTGTGTCGGCATAATGAATACACTGCTCAAATAACATCTTGCCCGCTCGCACAAGATGTCGGCATAATACGCTGGCGTATAGATGCTCACAGCTTTGGTAGCGTGCCCAAAGGTGTAGCACATGCTTTGCGTCAGGTCTTATAGTAGATCCGCAACGTTCCAGAATGGTGATGGGACGGTCTTATAGCGATTATAGAATATTTTATTAATGACTATGACGTAGTGAGCAGGGCGTACGGTACCCTGAATAGCAGCATATGACTGGAGGAAGAAATCCTAACTGTGGGCTTCGGTCATACCTTGATCGACTATAGTCCTAGGCTTCGGATTCGATGAGTGGTCTGCGTCAGCCTCTCAAGTTGGGTAGAAGCGAGTGTGATGACGTTTCCCAACTATCATGATAGTAAAGCGTGGAATGCCTCTCTTCTGATCGGCAGGTGGGTATGTCGCTTCGCATGCCTTGTGCAGAAGGGGTAGTTCTTCATCAATGACCTTCTCATACTGACCCTCTGAGACTCCATCGCGATAAACGAGTATGTTTTCTGGCAAAGCTTGGTGCTTTCCGAGATCTCTCTATAGTCGGAGTCGTGACTGAAGCATATCTGTCAGGTCCGATACCATCTCCTGGCGTGCCTATGACTGAATTCGGAGCACAGCAGGCCACTGTCTAAGCCATCTGTCGATGCTGGCCACCATTCCAGCGATACTCGGTGCATGGCGGCTCAAGCCAGGGGACGGGTGGGTCACGTCAATCCCAACGACCATAGTCTTGTCCTCACTGATGATACCGAGCCGGGAGCCGTCAACCAGCTGATTATTTCTGCCCAGCTTCAGATTGAACTTCAGGGCAACATTAGCTAGATATTGATCTTGGCCTCTATCCTTGGCAAGTTTGTGGCCAACAATACAGACTGTGTGGATGCTATATATGGTATCGCCGCAGCGCTTGAGTCGATTGTATAGCGTTGTGTGACTGTCTGGTAAGACTATAAGCAGCAGATCAAAAGATTTAGCTACCATTTCGAGAAGTTGGTCCAGTTGCATGTTGTCAGGATCGTTCAAGACTAGCCTACGCCTTAGGCTAGGGGGATTCACCATGACTCTGGTTATGCTCAAGATAGTCCCAAACTTTCGAATGACTGTAGCAAGACTTGCCGATTCGAATGCATCTTGATGACTTGGGAGCGAGATGAGGATGTATGACCATCTTTTGAGGATTCCAGCGGTATTAAATTTCATATCAACCATATTCTAGCTAGCAAAACGCACTGGGACGAGCTTATTCTGCTTATAAAGAACCCTCGGCTCCTCGAGAATGTGTCCTAGAACTGTAATCAAGCTCGGTGAGATCAAGATACCAAATTGGCCCTAGGGATGTGAGTGAACGTACAAAGGAACGAAGGGTGGGATTGATACTAAGAGCACGTTCGTCTGCGGCGAAAGACCAGCAGTCCTTAATCCTTCATGGACAATGGATCCTGCATTTTCAGAGGGCTTGCGAACTGCAAAGCATATCATCTGTTGTGTCTGACTAGGTTCAAGTCTCGAACTGGCATTCTGTCCTGGCAAGACGATGCAGACCTCGGGCGGAAGATACGTAGGATTCTCTCTCGTCCTAACATTGACAACGGGAATCTCAGAATTCGTAATTCGTCTACCATATACTACACTCGTTGTTAGGTCACCAATCTAGTATATAGTCCGGAAGACTTACTGTTCAAAAAGAAATCGTAAATACTAATGTATCTTCCGCTTGTCGATAACGTAGATAGGTTGCCGGGACCAGAGGCCTTTACACCTTTCTTCTTCTTTGTTTCACTCGCCTTTTATGTCGTTGGCAGACCACTTAGTGTTGGCTTATCTAGCCAGAATTCCACCTGTCTGGGGCCGGCACCAAATTCCATCACCTTGGGCGGTCGAGTGAGTGCTTAGCCGTCATTGGCGGTAGCTACCCCAAAAATAGTCTTAACTCTCTATATGACTTCGCCATTTCTATTTCGTTTCTCAGGAAGGTGGGTAGTCCGAATCCTCAGCTTCCTGAGAAAACCCTCAATTCTAAACTTGCTTCTAAGCTGAGGATCAAACCATAAGATCAGCTGATCCAGCGGACCCTCATAGTAAAAAGCGCCGTATGACATATTGATGTTTACTAAGATCCGGGACGTCGCCGCTCGAACACTGGCAAGGAATCCCCATATAGCCGTAAGTCCATTATCAAGGTCTTAAGTGGTAGAGCTTTGACTTAGTGAGAAAGTCTTGCTTAAGTCGATCGTGACAAGATTATCAGTCGACTTAGAGTAATGGTTGAAGAAGATGTTGAAAGCTTATATCATGACCAACTTGTCGTCATAACATGCTGCTAAATTGGTGGATGTCAGATGTTCAAGGAGCTACACAACAGCCAAGGTATTCGTATAGTGGACTTATATATTATACGTTTTGGCGTTACTTTGCGGCTTGTCTTCACCCTCGGCTTGATAAGGAATGGAGACGCTTATGTCGTCCTTAGCCAATATATGCCGGGTGAGAAGAGTTGTCTTAAAATCCGACACGATTTCCTGTTCCAGTCCTGCTAGTCCTGGCGTAAGCAGTAGCAGCCGGATCATCTGTGCCAATTTCCTGCCTACTATGGTTGGGGAGATAGAGATATTATATCGGTAAAGGGTTAAGCTCGAAGATATAGTCATCACAACATAGTTTGCCTACAGTGTTACAGGTTTGCCTCTTGTATCGTACCCTGGCCATAGTGGAAAGGCATACTCTAAGCTTAGGCCACTCAGACCTAGTATATTGCTGCTAGCCTAGAGAGCGTCCTCGACGCTGGCTACAGCCGAGCTAAGAGGAAGGATACTCCCGTCCGGTAGGCTACTCTAAATATTAGACTTACTACCTGCCCGTTGAGTGGTATGTCTACTCACGAGAATGTCGCTATAGACATTCTAGGAACGAAACCGCCTATATTTCCGCCGCATCCTCCCCTGAAGCCGGGCCAGCCTCTAACCCCTCCACAGATGCTATAACCTTGAGTACTAGCCGACATCTAGGGTAGACTAGTCGATAGGTAGTGTAGTTCGATTATCTAGAATGTTAAGCCCAATCCTCTTCAATATGTAGCTTTCGGCTTTATTTGCAAAGCAAAGCGGGGTATCATCATAAGCAGAACGCCACCACAAGCATCATCAGACCAATAACATGCACGCTAGACTCAGACAACCCGATTGGATAACCTCAGACTGGATTGATGCTGTTACCCCTTTACGCTGAACCTTCTTAGTGGCTCATATACAATATGGCTGTATCCCGTCTTAAGATGATTGTTAGGTCCATATTTCTTTGGTATAGTATATATCAAGATATTATGTTGCTTAATCCAAAGGAATAGGGTTGGCCCTCGAGCCAAGCGGTTCTTGACGCACTCCAATGTCCCCCAACTCAGGAAGTGTACGGGTACAGGCCTTTTGCGAAGCAACACGATGCCTCCGAGGCGCTCTGTGAGAGCGGCCCAGTCTTATATCCGGCTTCCGTTGGTTCTGCCTTCTCTTGAGGTCCTACACCCACTCATCAACGTCCCACTGTACCCAATGGTCGATCAATTTGCTGCAATAGCTTGGAGGCTTCGACCGATTCACATATATAATCTTTCCTCCTTGCTGCCATGCTCGCGGAGCAAACCGCCGGAGGAGGTTCGTTAGCCCCTCAATTGTCAGACTTATGCCTAGCACTACGACAAGGTCGGGATTTGATGACGCATCACAGTTGATAATGCAGGCAATTTTTTCGCCTTGTGGGTGGTTTT